TACTCCAGACTTCAGTTGATCAAGCATGTCTCCTGACTAAAATCAGTTATACGAGATGCATAATTAACTATACAAGTCCATTATAACATGAACTCCTCTGTCTCAGAGGCCAAGATTCATAATAGTTAGAAGCTCGGCCTCTTAACAGTCTTTCCAATACTGATTATCCCCTGTTGCTTTAGTTGTATTACAGTAACCACGGCAGTACTGTTCCATCCATGGGTCCCCGGAGGTGTGTATGTACATACGAGAAGGCAGAAGGAGGAATAGCAGTTTGAAATTTGACTTCAGGCTAGATATGTAACTGCGGTGGTTAGGAGTGTAAAGGGCACGATAAGATCATCTGTGTGAAACTGAGAGTATGACTGCAGTTGATTTATGCGGCTGACATATGCCACTGACCTGTGTGGATGGAAATGTGAGCTTACGTGGTTCCTGGGCATTTTACTTTTCATTAGGTGAGCAGGAATTGTGCATGAGCAGGCCTGGCCCAGTGTAGGCTTTTTTAATGGAAAATAGTAGTTGCCACTTAAAACTCACAGAAAAATGAGATTTCTTTACATTGTCTGCATTGAGGGACATGGGGTTGTTTTCATCTCAAGCTTTGTAGCTAACTGTGCTGTCCTCTAGGCTCTGATGGTCTTCCTGGGGGATTCTTTTCTGGGTGCCTGTTCTCCTGCTCTCTGCCTCCCCCTGAAATCTGCTCCTCTCTCTTCCCTGGCCACCGTCCGTGTGTCTGTTCCTGTCTCTGGTTCCCATTTGCCCGGGCTGACGTTTGTTGGTATGAAATGGGGTAGGGAGGCAGAGCCGCAGAGACTGTGGATTGAGGAACTTTGTGCAAGGAGCAAGATGGGGAACAGCCCAGTCAGGGAAATGGGTGTTTGCCTCTTCCCTCAACCTGCCTGTGTGCCCGGGCCGGTGCTGTGGTCTGGTCCCAGGGCTCAGCTCCAGGCTTGCATCCTCTGTCCCCTGGTGAGGACGTGGGATGTAGGGAGACCCAGGGAACATTAGCGCTTGCCTGGAGGTTGGAAAGATCCAAGCTGGCAGCACAGGGAACGGCCGGGGTGCAGGGAGCAAGGCTTTGGTGTGGAGCTTGGCTGCGGAGTCCCGAACCATCCTATGTTTCCGTCTGTCTGTGCTGCCCCTTTTTCCTCCCGAGTGCCCTGCCTTAACGGTGCGGGTAATGCAGGTACAGCAGGACCTAGGTGGAGCAGCAGCTCAGGCAAACTGAGGAACAAACATGGTCTGTACACCCTATTTCTTTGGTTTTGGGAGCACTCCTAAAATTTACAGACCTGGCTGCTCTCTTAGGAGGAAAGCAGCAGGAAACTTAGCAATGTAAGATGATGCTTTTTTCTTGGAGGTGCAAGCTCCGCTTCTCACCTACTTTTAGCTGTAGCACTCCCTTCTGCGCTCTCCTCACTGCTTGTGAGCCTTATGAGCTAAAATGGGGTTCAGGTTATTGTGGGGATGTGGGGAAAAGTATCACAAAACAGGTAGGTGGAGGAGCAAGGCTCGGCAAGCTTTTGCTTGATGTAGCAGTCTGAAAAAGTTTGTGGTTTGCCAGAAGCAGTCCCTGGTCTGATAGACATTGGGGGCCCAAGAGTTGGCAAATGAATAAACCTCACGCTATTCTAATTTTTTTATGTCTGTATAAGGAAGCACGCTTTTTGTGGGGGGGAATAACTGGATAAAGTGAAATTAGGATGGTTGGTGTGTTTTACTAAGAGCCCACTCATCCCATCTAATCTTGTAAGAGGCTTGTGTGCTGTGCAAGTTGCTCGGGAGGGAGTAAGCAGTCACATGTCCCTCCCTTGCAAGAAGAGATAGCAATGAAGAGCAATAACATGCTTTTCTGGCATTAACAGACCTTCAGCTCCACAGACCTTGCTATTTTCCTTCCATGTGGGTTTGTGGGTGTAACTGAGAGCTGTACAGCTTTGTTTCTGTTCTTTGGACTTCCTGTGTGACTCTACCTGTACAGCATACTTGGTGCAAAAATAGCAAAGGAAAGACAAGAAGTAGAAAACTACGTAACACAAATCGGTGGCCCTCAGACCATGTCTTAGGGAGGCTGTACAGGTGCTGTACATCTCCCACAGAATTGGGTCCCAAGCCTATTTTTTTTCCTTTAGCACGCTGTCGGGATTGTGGGGTTTCGCCGCACGGCTTAACCCAGTACTGGCTCCTTGCAGTCAGGCGCTGAGCACCGGGTGAACCGTGAGATGCTCTGCTCCCGCTGGTGTCCTGCCCCTCCAGCAGGATGCTACTCTGTAAAATCTGGAGGCCATCCACCGAGCCTTAACGTAACGGGTCGTTGGGTGTGAGGTCTCCAATGTCACGTTATGTTGTTGAGAGGTGCGCTAGGCGATTGAGAAGAGCATGTAGCACCTTAAGTGACATTGTATAGTCCTTCCGGTCAGTGGGTGGTGGAAGTAACAACTTTTTTCTTTTCTTTCAAAAGGCTGTGAAAACTGAGCGATGCTGTGCTTTATCTGAATGGATTATCTGTACCCTGAGGCAGATGGTTTCAGTCAGTGCCTTTTGTTTCCCTGCTTCAAAAGGCACACTCTTTCAAATTGTTTGCTTAAAAAAAATGAACCTACTGCAGGCTCCTGTGCTTCGCGTTTCTACGCTAGCATGTCTGATGGTAAGGTGGTAAGGTACTTCCTGTTTATCTACAAGAATCTCATCTTCCAAATCAAACTTGGCTCTTGGGGGACCTCGTTAAGCCAAGGTTCAGCCTTGCTGTAGGGGTGAAACGAACCACGTTAAGATTTCACTAGCCTTTGAATCTCTTGATGGTGCAAATACTTCTTCCACGTGTGTTCAGCCTTGTTCTAGGTCCCAGTTGCCAGTCGTCATTCTGGGGCAGCTCTGAACAGACCTGCGGGTGCTTTCAGCTCGCAGGGGTGACAGAGGGAAGGCTGTACATGCCCAGATGAATGCACTGCAGAGCTGGTTAGAAACTCAAACAGGTAACCTGCCTGTCCCCAGCACCCCACCTCACCTTCCTGAGGGTCTTTGGTCTCTTCCCTATATGTACTATGGTACGGGCAGGGTATTGCAAAGCATCTTGGAGAACCATATTGCTTCACATGTACTTGTTCTCTGGAAGAATGGCCTTTTTACTCTTTCCCTTCTGCCTGCAAGGCCTGTATCCAGGTCATGGAAAGGAATTAAAGAAGCTTCATGCCTTTTGTTCAAATCCATTTAGGCTCTCCATTGGATGGCTGTCCTTGTTTTTCAGCTTAAGACCGCTGAGGTAGAATCTATTTCAGAGAAACTTTATTTTCTTATTCTGAAAGCTACTTGAGGTCTATGGAGATAATTGTACCTTTATCAGTTGAGCAACACATGCAATTAAAGGCCTATTTCTGGGCCTATTCATACCTAACTTGGTCCAAGTTTCCCAGTCCTTCACCTAAAATAATTAGTCTCTAGCCATACAAAGATTGGCCCACTGAAACAAAAAGAGCAAACTAAATTCTTCTAGAAGATGGTTTTCTACTACTTTTTTTAATGAGGATTATCAATGGTTTACTGGTTAATTAATGATAATTTATGTATTTAAAAAAATAACCCAAAATATCAACATATCTAATGGCCTGAACTAACAACTTGGTGCAGAAACAATTACCATGGATTTTTATCCACACAGATACTGTGACTGACTTCAAAGGTGGGGGGGAGGTGGAGCACAAGTGTACCATAAGCGTAATAAGCCATCTAGCTTACCAAAATAGTGGGGTGAATATGTACGTGCTTAACAGCTCTGGTGTTAGCTGGAATGATACCAAGATGAAACACAAAGATAGAAAAGCCTTACTTTCTTCCATTAACTTGAGCGCAAATCATCCGGTGTGTTACGTGCAGCCTGAGACCTAGCACATCCTTCCTTTTCAACCGTGGTGCAAATTTTTAACCAAGTTAAAGACTCTCTGCTTGCTGCTGTAAACCTCTGGTGCAAATATCACTATGAGTAATTTTTAAGAGCATTATTTTGCAAGAGCAGATGCTTGGTATCCAAGCTAGAGCTGAATAAGTGGTGCAGAAGAAGGGCATGAGTGTTCTTTTCAAACTTCAAAAGGCACCTTGGTCTTTACCTCCTTTTTATCTTCTTTCCCGCAAACCTGAGCATGAAGCATAATCACTTTTTTGTGCCAGCGTTGGGAGGAAAGCTTAGCATGACAGAGTTATACGCAGTTATTTGTGAACAAAAATGTTTGATTTTGATTGGGTCGGTCACTGTTGATCATTTGTTATTTCCATTGATTAATCATGGACAAAAGCAATATGCAGTAACTTGGCTATCCAATCATCCCACCAAGAGAAAAACAGTGTGTGCTGTATTTCAATATTTTCTCACACATTATTTGTGAGAATTCTTTGTAAAAGGAAAACAGCCTTCTCCTTCTGTCTTCCACAAAAACCAAACACACACACACAAGTATTCACTTGATTTTGGTTAATAATAGCTTTAGACATTAATGGTGCTCAAAGAACTTTGCAAGGAGATAGAGTGAACTGGAATGACAAACTGAATCCTTGGAAGGATACTCTTAGAAACTCAGAGAAAACTTGTCCCACAAACATTCTTAGCTTTTACCTGGGAGAAATTAACCTGACTCAGTATTATCTTCCTAACAAACAGATCCATTTTGCATGTTTCTATCCTAGGAAAACCTTCCTCTTCTCCTCTTTGTTTATATTCAAACCATAATTAAATCAAAGTCAGACTAGAAGCAGAATCCTGGGAAAAGGAAAAATAAGAGAGCTGATTGTTTGTTTTATTCCCCCATTTAAGAGACAAACACACAGTGCAAATACCCGTCCATTGATACGGGCTGTGTTTTGAATTCTGGCATTACAGGGGAGCATCCATAGGTTCTTCTTAACAAAAGGGAAGTCTTCCTGAAAGAAAAAGGAACAACATCCCGGAGGGAAGCTAGAACTGGGACTGCATGCAAAACGGCTGTCTGGAGAAGTCCTTGCCATGTTTATTTATTTACATTAATGGAGGCATATTCTGTAAAATCGTTTTCTACAGTTAGTGCCCTTCTCTGGCATCTTTCTGCAGAAGCAGAATGATCTAGTGCAGCATATGTGAGGACGTCTGGGCTTTCAAGTAAAACTGGGATGGAAGGAATAACAGGATCATTGCGAGGTGCGTTAGGCGCTGTCCTCTGAGCGTTCCAGGGAGGGACAGCGTTGTCATAAACTGTGTTGCTGTGCAAGGCCTGCATTGGGCTAGCCATGGAGCAATAGTAAGGTGAGCAGCTTTCTTCTGAAGCTTCAGTTGTCCCAGCAGCTGCTGGACTTCTGACCTGCAGAGAACAGAACAGGGTACAGCTCTGTGCATATCTGGCTGTTGCCAGTGCTCCTGCTAAATACGAGGCGTGTAAGATTTTGTTGAAGTTGTTTTATCCCCTTAGAACTGCTTTTGAGCACAGATGAATTGGATTCACCTGGTCACTGGATTTCATATTGATCTTTGAAATAAAGTTAGAAACCATTCTTGTATCTCATGCCTTTCTACATTTCCCTTCCCAAACTCTCGCATCTTCTCTTGCAAGATGCCAGCTTAACACAAACTGATTCATCATTTTGTGAGAGCTCTCCTAAGCCACTCATTCAAGGTTTTCCCTTCTCAGTTCATGAAATCTTTCTCATTTTTCACCTCCAAACCCCAGAGTACCTTTTCCTCATTGCCCCCATTCTCCCATTTCCTGATCTCTTGCTTCTTATCCTCTTTGTCTTATTATTTTCCACAGAAATCTTTCTCCTTCTCTAAAATCTGTAAGTTCCTCTATAAATTCATCTCTCTCTAATGAAGTCCTCTTTTGACATCCATTTTTCTAGGAACTTAGAATGTACTGCTTTTAATTTTCTTGCCTCCAGCTTGCCTCTTGGGAGCTCTGCAACCTGTTTGGTGCCCTTTGATTCCTGCCAACACTACCCCTGTGACTGACAGCTGTCAGCTCTAGTCACGTCTTTTGTGTTCTGCCTTCTGCCCATCTAATTTCTCTGAAACTGATTGCAAGACCTGTGTGAATTCCTGCTAACCACATATGAAAGCCTTTCTTTTAAATTATTTTCCTTACTCTTTGGGTCATTTTTTCTCTTACGCAGACAGCCCAAACCAGATCAATGAGGTGCTTTAGGTGCCTAAACTCTTACTGGAATGGTACTTACAAATTAATACGTTTTAACAGGAATTTAGATGCCTGAAGTACCTTTGTGTTCCTTCCCTCAGCTCAGCCACGGTGATATCTCACACCAGGCAAGCTGTGCTGTTTGGGTGCCAAGAGGGTCACTAAATCTGTCTCTGATTCTGTGCCACGTTTTGTACTACACAAAGATTTGTTCTCAGTGCGTGGTTATGCAGGATGTGGTCAGGTTTTGATGAAGAAAAATTTAAACATACCAGGCTTTCTTTTCTCTGTTGGGTTAATGGAGTTCTCTTTTGCTTTGCTGGGAAAAAGAAAGGGAAAAAAAAAAAAGTTTCAATAAATCAGCAGTGAGAAGGCGCCTTTCTGCTTATGGAGGGAGTATTAATTACTATAGGAGTCCTTGCCTTGTTGAGTGGACCTCAAAGAATAAAAATCTATTTCCAAACTGGATTTGGGAATAGCTATTCTGGTAAAAGCTAACCAACACAGAATGATATATTTATAGAATAAGTTTCTGTGTTCCGCAGAGCTCTTCTGAATAGGAGCAGAAAAATTCTTAGCGTACTTATGGCCAGTTTTGTCTGTGTTCAGTGAACTGGGTGGGGAGGAAAAGGCAAGGAAAATCCTAAAGCCATCCTATGAGCAAACATGTTAAATTGTATTGGAAGATAAAATAATTTCATTTTCCTAAACATAAAAAAAATCCATGCAATTATAATAGGCAAATGCGAGATCACTTAAATTAAGATATGGGTGACTGCAAGTTCCATTCTTGATTTAGGACATGGCAGCTGTGTAAGTGTTCGTGTAAAGCAGGAGAGATTGCTAATGTAATTATTCAGTAATTTAGAGGGAAAACTAGGAATATAAAACATAACTGGATAGGGCTTGACTGCGTTTGCATGGCTAAAACTCTTATTTGTTTCTAACTTGATTATTTGCAAAACAGGAGAAAAAGTTCCAACTGTTATAAAGTCTGAGATTTTTATTTGTTCTTACTTTACTTCCATCCCTTTGTCTCTGGAAGGGAACAATACATGGGGCAAATTAACTTCATAAAGATTCAGTATCCTAACTGGCACATTTGGCAAGGACATCTCAGCAATCAGTTGGGGTAATTATTAGGGGATTTTCACAGAGCTTTGAATGCAATTTCTGTGAAGCTGTGAAAAGGAGTGGAATTAAATGCATACTAGGCAAAAGTTAGATGGTAAAACTACTTACCATGGTACCTCCTTAGACACCAAAACATGCATACAACAATGAATGGACAACATAGACCCACGGATGCTGAAGCATAAATAATGTGCAATATCTTGTAGTTTCCAGATCCTTGGGATTCTTCCGAGATGCTAGTGGTATCTAAAATTGCATTAGCATGTATTAGCGTAGAGAAATGTTTGACTGTTTTTTTGGTGTTGTTTTGGTTTTGGGGTTTTTTTTTTAGCATTAGGTCTTTCTGATGCAACTGCCTTCTTAATGTACTTAAACATTCTGTAACTTGGTATAGCATATCACGAGATAACCTTATCTCCGTGTCTCCATGAGCATTCTATGAAGTGTGAAGATACTGGAAGGAAAAGTGCATGGGAAAATGTACTTGATGAATGATGCATGGCAGAAGGCTGGCAGAAACAAAGAGAGGGTCAGAATTAGAGCACTGCTCTGAACTTCCAATATATTTTTGCAATTGTAATTGTGAACAATAACCAACTGTGAGTAAAAACCGTATTTCAGGTTGTGTTAAAGTGATGGTATAGCATGATTCCTAACACTTTGTAAGTATAAGCCAGATATTACTGGAGCATGTCAGAAGTGTAGAGTATACCACCAGGAGGTAATTTGATTGGCTTTGGCCCTTTTATGCTGAATGCTGGACAGTCCTAGCCTTGAAAACTGTGACCCTTGAGAGACTGTATTTTGTTCGAGTGGGAAGAAAGCAACTGTGGTTTAGCAATGAGTTTAAATTTGTCTTGACTGCACAAAACACTATAACCAGAAATTCATAGCAATACAGATTAGTTCCTTTCTCTTAAAGAGGAAATAAGAATCAGAACTTACTTTCTGGTGAAATTGTGATAAAGTTTGCAGACTTTTCTGAAAAAGAAAAGCACGACAGGGAAGTGAAACAGCAACCTGACATTTTGCACAGTAGTAGTGTTCTCTGCACCACGTACTCATGTCTTCGCACGGTTCCCCTTCAATCTGATGACAGAAGAAGGAACAAAATGCAACAAGCAAAGGGTAGGGTGTTTTGGGGGGAGGGGGAATGATATGCTGGTCTCCTACTGCCAACAGAGTAATTCTATCTTTCAGACTTCTTTGGCATTCGAATAAAAGACCATCAGAACGTATTTCAATGGAAACTTGCATCATGAGCTGGGCATATACTGTGTCTGCTAGCACATTACAGCCATAAATTTTGATGTTGCTCCCTCTGTTGCAGCATTTCGTGTGGCAATAAACAAGGTTTTAAAGTTCATTAACTTACCAGGAGAGGAACTGGCCACAGAACGTTACAACTCAGTTGCTGGGGGTCAGTGGGACACTAAGGCCACACAGATCACTTTCTAGCTGCAGAGCAACATTGAGGAGCGCAGACATGGCTCATCGTAATCTAAACTTGGCATCCCAGCTGCCTAAGTCAATGTGAAGGCCTCACTTGCACTTAAGATCATTTAAAGCTATTGTAATCTTTCCCACTCCTGAACTTCTTGGGGTACAAAATTATACTTCCTTTCTGTTTGTTGCAAGAGAGATCATTCACAACAAGGCGCTTGAATTGCTTTGTCCTCTTTACTGTTGTGTGGCCTCATCCACTGCTATTACCCAACCATTTGCATACTGTCTAGTCCGCGTGATGTATAGCCAGGCTGTCCTCCCACCATCTTTTTTTGCTCCAATTGATATTTTTTAATTATCAAATAGTCCACTAACGGCTGTTTGGTGTTGGCAGCTTTGCTTTTCTCTTCCAGATCCTCCTGTTACTTATTTTGTTCTTTCCTTTTGTTTCTATGCTGCCAAGAGGCAGGATAGAGGCATTAAGGAGGTGGTAAGTACCAGCACAACTGTGCTACCAGTCAAACATGTTGGGAGAAGCCATTGTCCAGCATGCATGAGCTTTTCTGTACGTGGCATCCTTTTGTTTAAAAGGGCTCTTTCATAATATAGGGGCCTCACCTTCAACAATAACCTGTATTCCATGGCTCTCACTGGACAAATTGTTCGCTGTTGCTCGACAACGATAAAGTCCACTGTCATTCTGATGAATTGAGAGAACCTCCAGAGTAAACACGTTGGACTTCCATTCTGCTTTGCCCACCTCCAGCTGCACACACCTCTCCACCTGCATCTTGCACCACTGCATGACTGGCTTTTCCTTGCAGTAACGAACCGGGCAGCTTATAGTCAAAGAGTTCCCGACATAAATTTTGTACTGGGAGTGTCTTTTAACTTGAATTTCAACTGCACAATTGGTGGCATCAAATCCTGAAAGAGAAAAAAAAGGTAACAAAAATTAGAGAGGGGGGGGTGTCTGCTATATACTCCCCGTAACACTAGTAACAATTTCTCTTCTCTCTCATTACTTAAGACTTCCCTTGTCTACTTGCAGCAGATCTGATCTCTATATGGGACAGTGACAGCAGATAACATCAAGACTATTGGTTCTTTCATTTTTAGGAGGATTGTTAAAATGCACTTTCTCCCTCTGATATGATTTTTTTCCCCCCTTTTTTCTTTATCTCAGTCAAGTTAGAAATTTAATAGTTTGGAAAGAAAATACGTAAAATACACATAGCAAGTTTTCCTGTGTCATCCTTCTCACAGACCTTTTCTGTTACTTTTAGATTTACTTCAGATTATTGTTTGCTTCACAATTCTTGTTAACCTACAGAAGTAAAGGCTTTTCTTTGGTAGAGGTTTTTTATAATTGTAATATTGAAAAGAATTATATTTAATGCAAATATACCTTGTCTCTTTTTATTTTTGTTACATTTTTGTTAAACAAGTCAGTGTTCAAGCTATGGTAAGTCACCTTAACTCTGGGTCTTGGTATTGAATGTCCTGACCTTTTATTAAAGATTCATGTTTCTCGTGGTGCTTTATTTCTCTGGCTACATCAAAGTAACAAAACCTCTGATACGTATGTGCTCTCTATGTCCCTGCCCTGTCTTACAGTAGAGTGCTTCTGCACTGAAGAGAGTGATTGCTCACAAGTCCAGAGAAAGAAATCTTAAATAGATCTGTACCTCCTCATTGATAGAGGGAAGTAGAAAAAATGGTAAAGTACTGTGAAGGGAAGTTTTATAGGGGGAAGAAATGCATAGGGGAGGAAAGAGCAGTGTGAGGAGCAGAGGGGTCTGTCTGTCAGGAGCCAGTGCTGTTTGAAGGGATGAAGCCTCTGGGCCCCTGGGCAGCCAGGGCACATAGCGGCAGCACCAAACGCCTCCCCTCCACCGTCAGCTGGGATTTCTTATGCATGTGATATAGCAATCCTTGTGAATGCCTGGATAGTATATTCAAGAGCTTGGGATGACCAGATTAACAGTTTTCATTTATGACCTCTAGTTTGCAAGTCTTTTCTCTACAAATCTCAGACTACTGCACTCCATAAATAAATTGTAGAGCATTCGGTAATACTGGGTTTTGAGCGTGTGTTCATAGCCTTCTTTACAGCAGAGCTAACGCTTTGCTGCTGTTGATTTTTTCGGTTTGCTTTCTTTAAGGCGGCTTTGGGAATGGGCGTCTAAAAATTAGGTGGCTCTCATCTGCCTCTAAACCTAAATCTTTAATATTGTTCTCATTTTGCCCTATCAAATGTGCCTGATCTTGCTTGATAACGAGGAAGAGGCTATTTACTGTAAGGCTGTTATTTGCAGCGACTGCAAGAAATTGTGGTCTCTGATGTACCTCTGCCAGGTGCGATAGAGAAACTCATCTGCTCACAGGACTTGGTATCCTCGGAAGCTTCTGCTTTGAGGGGTCCGAATCTGAAATCATCCTTATATACCAACTTTCCCTTAGTCAGGATGGCTTTAAATGAGGCTTGAAGTGGCAAAAGCACACAGGTAAGCAACTTGGATAAGGACTTTAAAATTGGCCCTTGCAGAAGGGGCAAGTGGAAGAAATTTAGATAATTTGGATGGAGATGAGAAAATGAACAGGAGGACAATAGCTCTGGGTATAAACAATGTCTTTTTACTAATGAAAAAAGTCTGGATAAAACCCAAGGGGAACTAGAAGCCTTAATTCATTCAATATCCCTAAGAAGACAAGGAAGGAGAGCAGCAGAATAAAAACAGTTGGGTTTGGCAAAGAAAGCTTTAGTAAGTTTGGAGACATGGGAGATAAGAACCCATCAGATGTGAATACAAATGAAAAGGACATAAACGGAGTGGGTGGTCCATCCAATAAATTATGAGAGTACAAGCACTAAACATCTGCGCTACAGCAGTGCGGTAAACTACTATCTCAGCTAAGTCACGAGCAAGCTTTTCACTGAGACAAGAAGGAGGCCTCCAAAAGCATAAAGAAGGTCAGGTTATTAAGGAGGGGCATAAAAGAACAGAGCAATCATTACAGAAGTCATGGCAGAGAATGAGATGCACTTAGGAAAACATATCAAGTGTAAGTGTATTGATTGTAAAACTAAGAAAACATTAGTTCACTAGTTAGTGGCAAGAGAAAGGTATCAATAGGTTACCAGCAGTAAATTAAATTTACCAGATAAATTAGATAAATTATTTGTAACAAGGCAGGCTCAATTCAAGAGGGACATGCAGTAACCTTTGTGTTCTGCCAAGGACTGGTAAGTGTAGCCAGGTCTTGTCCAGTCTTTTGCACTGCTCTTCAAGAAAGAAGGGGGGCAATGCTTGGAGTCTCTCCAAGTTGGAAAGAAGCCAGCAAATACAATGAACACGATAAGAAGGCCATAAAGGAAAGCTTGAAATTCTTGGGGTTGTTTCACTTAAAGAAAAGCAATGAGAGGAAAGCACATAATAAAATCATGAAAAGACAAAAAAGAAGAATGAAATAATCTGGATTTTCATGTTTCTGTTAGGTATGGGGAGAAATAATGGGCTAAAAGTGAAGTAAGGAAGGTTGATTACATAGTTTGAAAGACTTCCTAACTGTGAAAACAGTAATACTGGAACTGGTTTCTGTGGAAGCTTGTAGACACTGAATCACTGAGCGCCCTGAGGACTAGCCTACACTGACATCTGTCAGGATAACATAGCTGAATTTGCCTTCCAACCTACCAGTGTATGCAGTCATGTCGACAAGTTCATGGACATCAGATCCATAATGGATACTGAAAGGACTCAGGAAAGATGTACATGCTGACGTCCCCAGTGCAGCTGTTCCATTGCAGGGGACACAGGAGAGGAAGGGACCACAGAAAGTGGCTGTGCTCACGTGCTCTCCCTGAACAGCCTTACTTCTTCTTGCTGCCAGAGACAGAGCACTGCTCTGTGTAGGCAGTACAGCATTTCTCACGTGGCCTCCACCGATACACAAGATCCACTCTCTGCCACAGCATTGCCTCAATAGTAGGTCCTGATTATAAGTAAAGATGCGGTGTACAGGAAGAGATATTCTCCCAGGGACCATCCATCTGGATGCAGTAGCAATAGCAATATATTTAATATAACATTTAACATATTGTATGATATTTAATGTGAATAAAATAATTAAATGTAGTATTTATTATATTATACATCATATATATTTTTTTAATGCAATATATATGATGTGGCAATTATATCGTGATAGCCACAGTTCTAACAGGTAGAGCTTGGCCATGTTCACAAGGTAGCATTTAGGTGTTAGGTCAGCATGTCCTTCCTGCCCAGTCATCTAGTCCCTTTTCTGCTCCCCTCAGTAGGTTCATTCTGAAAGACATATTTTTGGTGTGAAGCAGGATCACTTATCTTTCACTTAGACTCTTCCATTTCTGATTAAAAGAAAGCATAATTTGGTTTCAGGCAAGAAGGTCATAGCTACTTTGGTCATACTGCAGTAGCAGCACATGGTTATCGATAGTCTGAAAATGGAAACTAAAAGCTCAAATTAGAAAGTAGAGGTTTCAATTATTTCAGCAATGACTGCCATGGAAGATAATGCTTCAGGAAGTATCTATAAAGCTTGGATTGTGCCCTGATAGCAGCCTTCTTTCTGATATAGTCTTATGTAACAGGTATTTCCAGAAAGTTGTGCAGGTCTCTGCAGAACAGATATTTTCTGATATCTTTCATCTAATTATTTTATCATATAGTTTTATCTTTTTCAAAATCTCTTTTGGGAAAAAAAACCAACCAAACACCAAAAAACACCACCCCCCCCCCGAGCCCCCAAAACAAACCCCAAAACTTTTCTAGAAGGTCCAAAAAGTCCAATTTCTCGCAAAGCTTTAAAATAGATTTCAGTGACACTCTCTCATTCAGCATCATTATTAACCAGGGAGAGGGGCAGGAATTGTTGTACCTCTTTCATTCTTATCTTTTTCCCGTGCAGGGATGTCATGTTTTCCTTGATTTTGAATCAACTGGTGCTTTTACAACAAAGTATACATCACTGCCTACTGTCGCTTTTGGAAGAATGACCTGATGAGCATTGAGCAAATTTTGTTCATCCAGCAGCATTCGCTTGGGACAGGGTACAGTCACAACCCTCATGAATTCCGATGAACATTAATTGTGTAAGCAGTTGGAAGGGAAAATGTCTTATCAATGTTAAATATTGCTCTAAAGAAATGATTGCCTTGCACTGGTCAGTGAAACGTAGGGTAACACTCGGTGGCAGAACCTCCCAGAGAGAGGGAACAGGGGTGATACTGGGTGCAGAGAAAGTTTTGAATTACTCTCCGGCCACATCCTGAGGGGGAATATAGAAACTGCCTGAGCAGAAGCCTTACTGAGGTCTGGATATACTTCTAGAGTAGTTTTTGTGCAGCCTTTGCTCTGCAGGTGAGCGGTATAAGCAGTTCAAGTGTTATATGCGTGCACTGATACCACAACAAGAAACTTCCCTCCATACCAGTTCCTGCACCACTACCAATTAAGCCATAAGGAGCTATTCCACTCCTAACAAAGGATTTACTTGGTTTGTTTTAAAAAGAAAAGTTCCTCTGACATTCATATTACTTGTATTACTTTTGGTCATATAGTATATTTTTAAAAGAGTTCAAATAAAATGTGCTAGTACATCTCTCAGTCAGGTGAGCTTGAACAGTGTTTCTCCTTTTTCCCCCAAGCACTTATGGCAACATGTGCCACAGTTTTGCTCCTTCATCTTCTGGTGGTGATCATTCATTTCTGGTGGTGATCATTCATTTTTGGTGGTGGTCATTCACTTACTAGTATAATTCCAATATAATCAGGTCTGGTTAAATTATGTTTCCAGAGCAAAATTCCCTGCTGTTGAGCAGGCCTGATTCCAACACCCTTGCTTTCTCCAAAAGGTTACCTATGGAATGTACCGCCGAGCTT